GTGGGGGGTGGCTGGGGGGTGGCTGGACAACCTGCTGAGAACACACCACCCTCCTCTCCTGCTTGTTCTAAAATCACAGCCCAGTTCTTCAGGCTCCGGGTTTAGCTCTTTTGGTTTTGTGAACAGGCATCCCAAGAAACACTTTTTTGAGGAGGGGGAGGAAGGAGAGTCACTCCCCACCTTTTCCTGTGGTGCTGGGGATGTGCAGGGGGAGACAAGCAGGGAGGAGCTGCCAGCGGACCTGCGGGCGCTGCCAGGGGTGAGGGATCTCCCAAGGTAGAGACCCCCAACAGGCACTGAGGGCTGGAGTTGGGAACACGGGGATGTGCTGCTGCCATCCCAGAGCCTTAATCTGGGTGCTGTCAGCTGTCCCGGGCATGGGATGGGCTGAGAGAGGCTGAAACTGGGGCAGGGAACGGGGCTCCTGGAGCTGCTTCTCTCCCCGTCCCTTCGGGCAGGACCCCGGGGGGGTCTGAGGGGTTAAGAGGTGGCGGGTCCAAGCTGGGAGGAGGAATGAAATCAATCCCAAGGGGCAGTTAAGAGGAGCTGGGATCAGCCCTGCAGGTAGTGGTGAGGTGGGGACAGCGGGAGGTGTCACAGGGCTGTGGGGGGGACGTTCAACCCCCAGTTCTGGGCAGCCCCCACCCCTGCAGACCCTGCGTGGGGACAGACTGTCAGAAATCAAGCTGACAGAGCTTCTCTCACCGCTGTGCACCCTCAGGGGACCACGTCCCCCTCCCCACAGCCAAAAACCCCCCGAAAACCTGCCGGCGGCTCCGTCCCAGGCCCTTCCTTTGGGAGCAGCTCTCAGCCCCTCAGCTCTGCGAAGGCGGGCGGGTTCCCAGCCCTCCTCCTCAGAGATGCTGCGGTCAATAACTCCCCAGGAGGCTGCTATTCTCCCTCCGCTTCCCACCCTCCCACTTGTCTCGGTATCTCTGCATTCATGCCTTTTTGGCCCTCCCTCGGCAGCCGGGCGAGGAATAAAGCGGCGCTGGCTGAGCACGACGCGGGCTGCGCTGGGGATGCTGTGAGCCAGCGGAGGGAAGCCTGAATCACCGGCACCTCGAGGTGGGAGTGATGGATTTGGGCTGGGAGAAAAGGCAGGACATCCCACGTGCTTTTTGGGGAGTCAGGTGCTGGCAGCCGGCTGGGAATTGAGCGACTCGGATCCTTCCTGCGCCTTTAAAGGGGGGGCTGAGAGGGATGGGGAGAAGAGGAGGGGCTGGTGGGATGCAGTTGAGGCGCTGAGCTGGAGCCCAGGCTGAGGGATGCTCGCAGGGACTCGTTCCTCTTGGAGAAACTCCTCCTGGAGGAGCATCTCTGGTGGAATCCTGTGGAGAGGGAGAAACGCTCAGCCTATAAATGCCTGAAAATGAGCCTGGAAAGGCTCAGCTGGGTACCACAGGGGGAGAGTAGGGTCACTGGCCCTGCTGGGGAGGACTCCAGTGCTTCTACTGGCATCAGCTGGGAGGGAGCCACTGAGGTCAGTGGTTTATGCCCATCCGTTAGGGCAAAGAGCAGCAGAGCAATTTTTCAGGCTCCTTCTCTTTCTCCCCCAGCCCACTCTCACTCTGTGCTGCCCATGGAGAAACTGTGTGGCCTCGGGCAGCTTCTTGCCCTGGGGGAGCAGGTCCTCGTGCTGCAAGAGACTGGCCTGGGATGGCTGAGGGCTTGAGGGCTCCAGCTGCAATTCTTGGAGACAAGTTCTCAGCCCTCCCTGAGCTGGTGATGCTGCTTTGCTCCTCTGGTGAACGCTACCAGAAAGGATGGGTGACCAGCCTGGGAGTGCTGAGAGGTGGTTTTGTCACCTTTTTTCAGGCTCCTTCTCTTTCTCCCCCAGCCCACTCTCACTCTGTGCTGCCCATGGAGAAACTGTGTGGCCTCGGGCAGCTTCTTGCCCTGGGGGAGCAGGTCCTCGTGCTGCAAGAGACTGGCCTGGGATGGCTGAGGGCTTGAGGGCTCCAGCTGCAATTCTTGGAGACAAGTTCTCAGCCCTCCCTGAGCTGGTGATGCTGCTTTGAACGCTACCAGAAAGGATGGGTGACCAGCCTGGGAGTGCTGAGAGGCATAAAGTGAGGGTGGGAGCTCTGGTGGGGATCACAGCCAACGTCCAGTGTCATCAAGGAGAGGCCTTGTGTCTTTGGGAGTGTCAGACCAGGTCCCATTTATGTATAAATGGGGCTGAGGGGCACCACAAGGTTCCCCGGTGCTTCTGAGCAGGGGTTGTTCCTTAGAGAAAGCAGCACAAGGAGGGGAAGCATCTGGGACAGAAGGTCCAGGTCCTGTTGGGACCTTGCACCCGAGGTTTTTGTTTCTGGGAGAAGGGGCTGTGCGGGGGCTGGTTGTGTGCATCTTGGTAGGGAAAAGCCCCTTTCCAGCCTCTCTGCCCCGAGCTGCTGTTACAGGAGCTAATTCAGGCGTTAGTTTAGATTTTTTTTGGGTATTTTGGGGGTGGAGGGTGCCTGGGCTGCCCTTGCTGCCCCCCGAGCTGGGCAGGGAGGGGTGAGCCGGGCAGATGCCCCAGAGGGGAGACGGTGATTGTGCCCATTTCACAGCAATGCATGGTCCCAGCGATTTGCCCAAGGTGACAGAGCCCGGTGGTGGCTGCCACTGGCCCTTGGCCACCCACCCCACCCCACTGTGCCCCCCACACAACCTGCCCGTGGTGTCGGACCGAACCCACCGCATCCCACCCCATCCCATCCCATCCC